AGTCCTGCTCTGTGAAGCAATTCATATAACAGGATTATTGTAAATTCCACATCACTGCCACCAAACTGAAAAGCAAGAGAGATGGGAGGGAAGGGGTGAAATCTAGAGTTGTTTAAATTTCATGCATCAATCCTGAGTACTTAAAAATAGGTCTGAAATCAAAGAGCTTGAGAACTGCAATGCTTGAGATTCAATCTTGCTTTTCATAGTAATGAGATGGACAGTGATGTTTCTTTAGTGATGAGCTACTTGTTTCATTTCATTCTTAAAACACCGAGTTTTAATATAATGTACAAGAATCACGAAAGACAGTTCATGCTGAGATTTTTATACAACTTACCATAGTACTACAGATTTGGTGCTTCACTTTAAAAATCTCCACTACATAAAACTAAAGCTGATGGATCACTTAAATGTTACATAAATTTGTCACAGAGGGCAGGCTGTAATTTCCATTTCTGTAGCAACCCTTGCGTGTTGACTCTTCATAAGACCAGTCATAATCTGAAAGAGCATAAGGGTACAGGTTGTAACCATGTTGGTCTAAGGACATAGGCAGATAAGGTTTTTTGGATAAATCCAGTATCTTCTATCAGACCAATTCATAGTTGGAAAAATTATTCTTTGCAAGCTTTCAGATATAGATATCCTTTGTCAGGCTGAAGAAGCATCTGCAGTTGGTGTGCACTCTTCCTGGATAGAATGAATAGTAAAGCAGCCAGAGGCTGGTATACATGCAAGAAAGCCAGTAAAGTAATTTCTTAATTGGGGATTAATGAAATGCATGTGTCCACAGGAAGCTGAATGCACATTAAGGGTGTGCAAAACGGGCCCTATTTGATTCGGATTTGGCCTGAATTGGGGACAGTGATTCGATTTGTTGAGTTGGGTCACTGTCCTCAATTCAATTCAGCCAAATCCGAAGATTTGATGCTGATTCTCTGAATCAATAATTCGGCCATAGACACAGCTTTAAATGTTTTTTCAACATACCTTGAAGTACCAGGCATGGCTCATGAATGCTGTGGTGCTGGGGTAGATGGAGCATCCCACAGGAGCACAGGGGGGGCCCCCCATGTGCTCAGCGGCAGCCCTTCCCCCCACACCCACCTTGGCTCGGCAATCAGCTTCTGGTCTACTTCCAGGTCTGTTGCTGAGTGCACTGGGGATCCCCCCCCCACCCCCCCGCACTCCTGTGGGACACTCCATCCACCCCAGCATCGCAGCATTTACGAGCTGCCTGCTACTACCTAGAGGTATGTAGAAAAAACATTTAAAGCTGTGTCTATCTCCGAATTGCTGAATCTCTCCAAATCGATTTGGAGGGTTTCGATTCAATTTGAAGAGATTAAAGGGTCCTCTGATTCGATTTGGATTCAGAGATTTGGTCACCAAATTGGGCCGAATCTCGGCCAAATCAAATCGGGGACTGAAACTTCTTACAGCCCTAATGCACATGTCCACAGGAAAATCATGCTAGCAATTTAAAACTGTTGTTATAATATCAAGGACCAAATGACTTGGCATTATAATCTATTGATTTAATGCAGGATAAGGTAACTCATAATATACTTTAAAAAGCTTTGTAATACATTAATGTATGGCAAAGGAAAGTTCTTTTTCTCATGTTCAAGTATACCCTTCATGATAGAGTAACATTTGCCTCTTTCCAGTATTCAGAGTTTACGAGTTCTAATTGAAAGGTTTAGGAATTCATTATTCAGCCTGTTTTCTGTCAGATTTCTTCATCAGTTTTAGCTCCAGATCATCAGTCCTAATTAGTAATACCTCACTTAATTATAGCTCTGCACCCAGTGGTGATATAGTTATGTCTGTCAGGTTTTCAATTAGGAGTCCCTACTTTCACTTCGACTACTTTTCCTTGCATAACTTGAATATAAAAGCTTTATAGACTCTTTGTTCTTAATATGTACTAATCACATTTGTTATGACTAACCTATTTTCTTTATAACTTAGTATCTTTATAGCATTTATGTGGCGTGTGTCACTGTAGTGTCTGAGTATTTCACAAACTTAATGAAATTATCCTCATAGCACCCCTGTACAACTGACAGTAGTAATAGTGTTTAGTGTCTTTCATATTCCAAGTATTTTGCAAACACTAATTAAATTTTGGTCCCCTTTTCTGTACTCAGGAAACTGGTGTTATCCCTATTTTATAGACAGGTTAAGTCAGGGGCAGGCAAACTATGGCCCACAGGCCGGATACAGCCCACCAAGCCATTCTATCCAGCCCATTGGACCCTTCTAAAAAACAGTTATTACCGGCTTGTGGCTGCCCCTCTGAAAGCTGGCAGGAGGTGAGCTTTCAGAAGTCATGCGCCGTTGGACCCAGTGGGATCTGTGCCTCCACCTTCATGGGGCTCCCAGCACTCCAGCTGGGACTACCACGTGGAGGCATGGAGCGTGATGGTGCATTACAGGACAGCTGGTGAGTGGGCAGGGGATCTCCTGCCTGCAGTGCTGGGAGCCCCACGTGGAGGCACTGAGCCAGGCTGCAGTACCAAGAGCTGCAGATGGCAGACAGACCCCGCCTGGCCCAGTGGTAAGTGGGCAGGGAGTCTTATGCCATCGGATGGATGGTCTCTGTGACACCATGTGCAACTCCCAGCACTCCTTCCAGGAGCCACACACCATCGGGCTGGCCAGGCTGGTTTTGTGCCAGCATGTGGGGCTCCCAGCACTGCAGTTGGGAGTACACACTGCTGGCCCAGCCCCAGGGTGGGCGGATTCCCGCCTGCAGTGCCAGGAGCCCCATGTGCTGACACAAAGCCAGCCCATTCTGTTCCAAAGATCCACGCACCGTTGGTCAGGCCAGGCCAGGCTGGCTCCATACCAGCACATGCATCTCTCAGGACTCAGCCAGAGCAGTGTGCTACTGGGGGGCTCTGCCATGGGCCATGAGAGCCCTGAGAGCCCTTTGCCTGCTGCTGCTGCCGGCAGCAGGAGCTGTACGCTATGGGCCGAGGGCCTTTGGTCGGGGGGAGGAGTCCCACCCCCATAGACCTCTCCACAAATGCCACACACACCCACATCCCTTTACACCCCCCCCCACAAACCGTACACCTACCTATCCCCTCACAAATCCCACACACATACCCCACAACCACAGCCCACATCCCTCCCACATACAATATACAAGAATAAGGCTTTATTCTGAAATATTATGCAGTCTACATACACTGTTACATCTCTATATACATTACAGGCAGTCCTTGACTTACAAATGTTTCAAGTTACATTTCACACTTACAATGTTTATAAATTGACACCCTGTTTCAACTTTCTGATGTCCGTTTCAACCTTACAACGCTTGATCCGACACAGCGCCAGTGAACAGGTTTTCTGCGTCACCCATCTCCCTGAAGAACATCTGTCCAAACTTCTTGGACACTTTCTTTAAGAAAGCAGACAAGACTCCAGAAAAACCTGTAGCCAGGACTCCTGAGAAAACTCAAGCCAAAAACCCTTCAAAAAGTCCAACCAAGAACCCTTTAAAAAGTCCAACAAAGTCATCTCAAAGAAGTCCTTACAAATCAATATGATTGCTATTTACGATATAAATACATTAATGTAGCTTAAATGATTGAGTACAAAATTCTGTGTTATTTTTGGTGAAAACAGGGTATCAGGTCTTGGTTCAGGAACCAATCCCCCATTTATAACATTGTTTCCTATGGGAAAATCAGTTCCGAGTTACAGCGTTTCGACTTTCAGGAACCAATTGTGTCGTAAGTCCGAGGACTGCCTGTACTACACAAACACACGTAAATCAGGACAAAAATATTTTTTTGAAATAAAAATTAGATTTATTTAATTTAAATATTACCCTTGCAGCCCTCGACAGTGCACCAAAAGTCGTTATGCAGCCCTCCAGATAAAATAACTGCCCATCCCTTGGTTAAGTGATTTATCTAGTTTTCATATCTAAGTCAGAAAGCCTGGGTTAAAGGTCTTATCTTTAGTATTTTGTTCATGTTAAAAGAAAGTTTCTTGAATGTTCCAAAAAGTATATATAATAATGGCTTCAATGTTGGATCTGCTGTATATCTCTGTAATGCTCCCCCCTTACCATTATTTAATAGCTAGCCAAAATGCTCAAAGTTAGGAGCACAAATAGGAAATGAAAGTTCTTCATCAGTTTGACTCTCTTATTCTAACACTGAAAGGTGGAAGGAAAGATGCACAGACTGTAGGGAAGAGGGAAGGGACAGCAGTGCTGTAACTGGGTGTGAGGGAGGTGATAGAGTCAGCTGCCCCGGGTGGCAATCTGGGGTAATGGTGAGGTTAGGGGAGTGAGTTCCCAGAAAAGCGTCTACTGCCAGCAGTCCTGTATTGATGTTTGTGTTCACGCTTGTGAACCAGAAGTTGCTGCTTCCACTTAGTCTTGGGCCCCTGGCAGGATCCCTACACTACGGAGGAATATGAACAAAAATTACAAAAAGTAAGCAAAACAACCCCCAAAAACCAGGAACTAGATTGATTGAGCAAACTGGCCATTTTTACAAAGCAGCAACAATACAAAGTTTATCTTAAATAGCACAGCTAGCTCCCTGGAGAAATGTCTCTGATGTCTGATAGGTGTTAAGGGTTTAAGTGGGTCATCTTCCCACAGGCAATACTCCCATTGACTTTTTAGTAGCAGTTTTGAGCTCATGTATTCCAGTACTATCTTTGGTAATCTCATTTTAAACTAATAGAGCCTGGCTGTATGGGACAATGTAATTTACTTTTAATATGTTGCAATCCAGAAAGGTCATGAACTGCATACATATATTTACAAATTGTGTGATACTGAAAACTTGCTCTACTGTAAAAGATACTGTGGAAATAATTGTAAATAGAAATAGCCTTTCATATTAGGTAAGTGTTAATGCATAGTCCTTGTTTGTTATGATGGAATTTTATATAGCATAATGCACATCTTCAGCTATTGATCAAATTATAAAAACTCACAGTGATGCAAATTGTTTCTGAAGTGTGCCGAACCAAAGAAATGGAAAGCATTTGATGGAAAAATCACTGAAATGGATACTCAGTATACACTCCGTGCCAGAGAACTGCTTGAAATCTACCACAGCATTAGTATGAAAGACCTCCTACAAGATGAGAGGCTAGATGTACTGTTAACACTCAGACATACTGTGAAGGTAAGTTTTATTTTTCCCTTTACATTTAATTGTAGGCTGCACCTTCCATCTCCAAAGCCACAGACATTAAATTGGTGCTGACAAAACAGCAAGATTTCTTATGGCAAAAAGGTGTCAGCCAGATCATCTAGTATTAAAAAGTATTTGTTGAATTTGGAAAGCCAAAATACTGTAAATTTTATGTTGCACTAACACTTTGTATGATAAATATTGATTTTTAAGGCAATTCTAAAATGATAGCTTCACAAATTTTTATTATATATTTGTGTTCAGATGAAATTCACTTTCTTAGTATGAAGTTTAAGAATTACATTAACTTGATAAATCTGTAACAGATACCTTTTAGTGGTTTTATGAATATTTTTCTGAATGGTACAGAATAGAAGTAATGCCCTTTAAAGCCAGGTTATAAAATGTCTGTTTGGTTTGCCATTTTTGTCTAAAAGTATGGCTATTGAAATATTGAAAATTCCTTTCCTACCCCCTTCCTTGTTTCTAGTAAAGCAGTTAACAGCTGGAGAAATTAACAGTTTCTTGAAATTTGTTTTTGTCTCTTTTTTGTTTCATTTCCTCATTTCTGTGAATGAGTAAGAAAAGCAGTACAAAAGTCTTTAGATACTTGGGGAATGGGTGTGATTTTTATGTCAAAATGGAATAATGCAGTGCAGAGCTGAGGGTATGCACTTCTAATAGCCCACTGGACTACCAGTGTGCCATGTGTTTGACACCTTTGCTTTAGAGTGGTGTAATGCTGACTTTGACATTGTGGGTACTTACAGAAATGGGGGGGGTAGAGGAGCAGCACTTTACTTTCAGCTTGGCATATCCTTGTACCTAGCTCCGTGCATGCCCAGAAGAGGAACTGTGTCAGTTTGACCCGGCTCACCCAGTGTCTGTATAGCTCTCATGCTTCAGCGGGGCTTCTTGGTGCTTTATCTAATTAGCTGATTGAATTTTTATTCCTCTCATCTGTCAGCACTTTATTATATCACCATCTCTGCATGAAGCCAGTGAGATCTTAAAGGAGGCAAATCATCATGGGCCCAGAGACTAAAAAAGATATACACACATATCCTAAACTTCAGTTCAAATGCCCAGCCTCTTCTTGGGCTGTGTGTGAATTTGGGAAGTCATGTCTCTGCCTCCCCATAGGAGAGTATGTATGAATTTTAGAAGGCTTTTAGAAATGTTTGTTTGTTTTTAATGTTATGATCTGGCCCATGTTTGATGTTTTGTCTTGTTCCTTGTGATTTTTTTTTTTAAGTAAGAGTAACACCTAAGTAGATTATTAAGTTAAAGAATTTTACAGTTCTTTGATTAAAAGCAGTCTTTTAAAATCTTGGGGAAGCCTGGTACCTGAGTTGCTTACCAATTTTTCTTTAAGAATAGCACTGATTTTTAGAAGCTGTAAGCAATTTTATTAGAGCAATAGAAAATAAGATGGGTCCTGCTTTATAAAAATAGGAAGAACAAACTACACATAGTATTTTCAAAAAAACCTCTAATAGTTGTCTTTTCTTTGCAGGATACTTTGAAATTTAACCTTCCTCTTTAATGCATAGATTTAGGAATATACAATTATTTAAGGAATGTACTGTATGTTTTGTCTTCATGTTTAGTTAGCTTGCATTAAATCTAACAGTGAACAAATCTAAATATAGCTAGTACACTGAGTGGATTCTTTTTGTGTGCATCTTTGCATGTATAGGAGCATGACTGTAAGCTCACACAGGAAATTGTGGAATTAATTGACAGAGAGGTTGACCTTATGATGAGAGGAGTGAAAAGATGCAATCTTGAAGGACTGAGAAAAAGAATATGCACATTGTTTCTTCAGTATATTAAAACGCCAACCTTTAACCCTGAAGTTGCTAGAGTACTTAAGGTATTTACCTCTTCTATTATGTTGTTGTTGTTACAGTATTTGTGATCAAAGGTGCACCCAAGCAGCATACACTTATGCAATAAGCAGGGGGAATAAGTAGTAAGAACTGGAAGTCTTTTTTACAGTAACAGTAGGATGATCTAATTGGGTTACATGAAACTTGATAGGATAGTTCCTATGTCTGGAATACTGGGTACAACTTGTTCAGGAATGATAGGTTGGTGAAAAGGAGGTGGTAGTGTTACTTTTTGTATAAAAGAAATATGCTTGTTCCAAACTTGGTACAAAGTAGAAAGTAGACCCATTGAAAGTCTCTAGGTCAAGGTAGAAGGGGAGAACAGAAAGAGTGATGTCATGATGGGTGTCTTCTGTGGACCACCAAACCATGGGAAGAGGTGGATGAGGCTGTTTGCAAACAAGAAATATCCAGATTGCAGGACCTGATGGTTATGGGGGATTTCTGTCTGGACAGTAACTCAACAGTACCCAAGCAGTAAAGAAAGTTTTTGGACTATCTGTGAGAACTTTTTGCTTCTGGTTGTGGAAACAGCAGCTTGTGGGGAGGAAGGAGGCAAACTGGGAGAGGGAGAGAAGCTCTTCCCTGTTTGCTAATCACAAATGGGGATGAATTGGTTGAGAATATGAAGGTGGAATGCAATTTGCATGACCATGACCCCAAAATATCAGAGCTCAAGATCCTAAGGAAATGAAGAAAAGATAGCAGTCAAACAAAGGGACTGGCCTTCAGAAAAGCAGACTTCAACAAACTTGGGAAACTGATGGACAAGTAGTTTGGGCAACAAGCTTGAGGGAGACAGGAGTCCAGGAAAGCTTATTGTTCCTAAAGGAGGCCATATTAAGAATGCAGGAACAGGAAGTCCCAGTGCTAAAGAAGGATAGGAAGTATAGAAAAAGACCAGCCTGGCTGGTCAGTGAACTCTTTAGTGAGTTGAAACTTTAAAAAGAATCTTACAAAGAGTGGAAATTTGACTATGTTACCAGGGATGAATATAAGAATATCACATGAACGAAACCCAGCCAAAACCTGGAGTGCTAAAGTATGATTTGAAATGCAGCTAGCAAGGGTTACAAGGCAACAAAAAAGGATTCTATAATTATTTCAGAAGTCAGAGGAAGAACAAGGAATATGTAAGTCCCTTAGTGAATGGTCAGGGCAATCTAGTAAAAGGTGATGCCGAAGAGGTTGAAGTGAAAAAGGGCTTCAGTCTTCTCTGCATTAGGTCACCTATCAGAGGGTGAACACAGCTAACAGTATGGATGAAAGCAAGAAACAGCCTAAGGCAGGGAACATTATATCCTGTGGGCCAATGAATTAAAGTATTTTTATAGAAGCTGGGTAGTTTCAAATCAGCAAGGACCAAAAAAACCTAGAACAGTGGTGTTAAACTCAGTAGTCAGGCCCCTCACAGGTTGAATCTAGACCTAATGACTGTGCCAAAGTTAATGCAGCTGTTGTTTCTTCCCCCTGCCACTGAAGCACAGGGTGCCAGATCTTGTCCACAAGCCAGGTCCTTGACACTTCTGATCTAGAGCAGTGGTGATCAACCTTTTGATCCTATTGGCCAAATGATTGGCATGTGGCCAATTTGTGGGCAGGATTGGCCTGCAGCTTCAGGCTAGGGGTAGAGTACCCTTGTTCTAAGACAATATCATGGTCATCGAAACAGCCAGTGTGGATTTGTCAAGAGAAGTAATGCTTGACCCACCTTGTTTCCTTTAACAACAAAGCGATAGATTTTCTGAATGGGAAAGAGCAGTGAATGTTTAATATACCTCAACTGTAGCAAGGTTTATGTTGTCTCCCATGACATCAGTAAACTAAAGAAATATAGTGTAGATTAAAGTAATGTCAAATGGTTACATAATTAGATTGTTGTGCCCGAGGAGTAGTTGTCAATGGTCCAACATTTAATTGAGAGGCAACGTTAAGTGGGGGCTCCCCAGGAGGTTGTCCTGGGTGGTGTAGTGTTCAATATCTTCATTCAAGGTTTAGAGGATGGAATTGAGTGCACATGTAGAAAATTGCAGATGACACCAAGCCAGATGGTGTTGCAGGCACTTTGAAAGCCAGGATGATGATTCAAAATGACTGATGAACTGGCTGACTGGTTTGAAATGGATCAAATGAAATTCAGTGAGGACAGATACAAAGTCCTGCACTTAGGATGGAACAGTCACACGTACCAGTGAAGGTTGTGGAATGACTGGCCAGGCTGCAGTACTGCTGAAAAAGACCTCAGGGTTATAAACTGAATATGAGCCAACAGTGTGCTCTTGTAGCAAAACATTTCAATAACATACCAAGTTGTATTAACAGTAGTACCACTTGCAAAGCAAGGTAAGAGATTCTTCCTTTCTATTGAGGGATTTAATTGTCAGTTATTATTACATTGGCCATGGAAAAAATAACTGTTTTTTTCAAAACTCCATCCATTTGACACGCATAATTTGCTGTGCTTCTCAGTGCGTCCCATTTACCCACTGGGCTTTATTAAGATGATTTTGCCTTTTGCAGCTTCACTGTTGTTTCCCCCAGGAGGGTTCTGGATTGCTACCTGGGCATTTTTTCCTTCTGTGTTGCTGGGGTGCTGTTGCTGTTGTTTTTGCTCTTTGCATCTATTTTATACCTTCTTGCAGGCATGTGCAATTTATGTAACCTAGCAACCAGCTAAAAGTCTTACCCATCCATTGGAGGTTTGTTGGCAACTGAGGAGCATGGATACCATAAACTGAACTTTGGCTTTGGAGCCAAGGCTTAACACATGATCACTGCTGTAGTTGGAAGTAGGGATATGTGACTTGGTAGTGGTCAGAAGCAGATAGCAACTTGGTCATGGCTAATTGGATATATGACCAGTTGACTACTGTGTGCAGTTCTGGTCTCCACATGTCAAAAAGCATTGTAGTAGAATTAAGAGGGGGAAAAAAGTACAGAGAAAGACAACCAAAATGATCAAGGGCATGGAGCAGTCACCATACCAGGAAAAACTAAAAAGGCTATAGGACCTTTCAGTTTGGAAAGGAGAAGGCTTAGGGGGAATATGATAGAGGTCTATAAAATCATGAACTGTGTGGACCAAGTGAACAGGGAATACTAGCACTAGGGAGTACCCAGTGAAATTGGGTGACAGGTTTAAAATAACAAACATAAGTACTTTTTATGGATTTAATTAACTTGTGTAATTCATTGCCACAGGAGGTGGTAGAGGCAGCTAGCATAACCAAGTTCAAAAAGAGACTGGCTAAATTCATGCATGATAGATCTGTCTATGGCTATTGAACAGAATGGTTGGAGGTGTTTCTTCTGGTCTATGTAAATCACTAATGGTGGATGCCAGGGAATATACTGATAGGGGATAGATCACTCCAGAGATATCTAGTTCAGTGTTTTTCCTCTAGTGCACATCCACTTCTTCCACTGTTAGAGAATGAGATACTTGACTAGATGGACCATTGGTCTGACCCAAAATTGCACTTCTTATGTTCTTAATCTGGGGATAGGAGATCTTTCTTTCTTTGGTTTTCAGGCCAACTCCAGCTGGGGTTAAAGTTTACAGGTACAACTATGTTTGGATTTGGTGTCGCAGGCACCAACTGATCATGGCAGCACAAGAGAATTGACTGTCAGTGGTGAGGAAAAAACCCTGAAGTTGATTCAGAAAGGCGGCAGACCACATATAGGGGCTTGGTTTGCTAAAGAGGTGCTAGCTGTCCAGTAAGAGACTTAGGCTCTGTGCTCTCTCCCTAATCCCACAGAGCAGGGGAGGAGTGACAAGGTAAAAAGCGTTTTTTGATTAATTTATTCCTCTCTGCATTTTTACACCAAAGAGAACATTTGGCCTTTATAATTTGATATTTGCAAGCCAAAACACTAACATGTTTATAATTTCCATTTTTTATCTTTTGATCCACGTGACAAATTGCATCTGCCAGATTACATGCTAAATTACAGGTCTAGTTTGCTGTTTTTTCACATTCAGTTATATTTCCACAGTTGCTGAAGATCTGGATACATACAGTTAATAGCAATTGCTTTGCAACATAATGTCTCTGGTCTTAATCTAGTTATAGAAGAATAAAGCAGTTGATTTTTTTCTGTAAGTAGTTTTAACAAACACAGTAAGAACAAAAGATACAAAGCTTGTGGATTAAAGAAAACCAGTTTGACTATTTTTAAACAGTAATTCCTATTCTGGGTTTTGAAGTTAGTCATTCTTATTATATTCTGGTGTGATGCCTGACATAAATCTAGAAAGTAAATTTATTCCTAAGGATGTTAACACAACCATATTTAATAGATATCTTTTACCTGTTAAACATCTTTTCTTTTCTTTTCTTTTCTTGCAGGTTCCACCAGATCCCTTAAAGCTTTATAAAAACATTAACTTTTGTCGTGGTTGTGAAAATTGCCTACCGTCTACAGAATTCTCCATACCTGCCAATTCACTCACTGTTGGCAGATGCCGACGGTGTTGCAAGCTTGATAATGAGGCTCGGCAGCGAGAAGCCTTTTTGAAATACAAATTTATGCTCAAAAATCTCAGAAAATCTGAAGCAGATTATCAGGATGATACTAAAATTGCCTTTTTGGTTCAGGTACTGTGTGCAGGTATAATGCTAGTGAAAATTAATGATTTGTGTTGAGTCCTACTTTTTTCCCCCCTGTGTTCATTGGTGATGCTAAGGGCAGTTGGTTTAAGTTGTTATATTAGCCCATTACTTTTACGTACTTCTAAAATTAGAAAGAGATAATCTGAAAATGCATACAGTTCCTCCTGTGTTACATAACATGTGGTTCCCTAATTAAACAAGCATGAAGAAGCTGAGTTGCTATCTTAAAGTGTAGGAGAACCAAAAAAGGGAAAGGAGAGTCTAATGGTCAATATCCCATATTTACCTGAATCCAAGACAGCCCGGGATTTAAGACGACCCCACCAGTAATTCTATACATTCTATGCATGAACACTTTTATAAGTTTGTTATAATTTTCCCTGTATAAAATCTAATTATTGGAGGATTGTCTTAAACTTGTCCCCATCACTTCAGAGGGGATTAGGCCATGAGGGAAGTAGTAAGGGGGCAGGCAGTGGTATAGCCAATGAGCTGGGCATGCAGTAGGGGAAGTGAGGGAGGCCGTAAGGGGGCAGGTGGTGGGGAAGAGGCAGGCAGCTTGCCCCCCGCTACCTGTTCCTCCCCCTACAGCCTGTGCTTCCCACCTGGCCCCTCACAGCCTCAGTACAGGGAGAGCGGGGAGGTGTGTGAGAGAAGAGGTGTGCGGGGGTGTCCAAGGGTGCGAGGCAAGAGGCAGGTGGGGCAGAGTCTGCAGGGGGCAAGTAGAAGCTGTGGCTCTGGCCCTACTGACGGTTGGAGGCAGAGCCACAACAGCTGCCTGCCTTCTCCCCCACCTCGTACTCTATTCCAAGGCGAGAGGCTTCTCCCCACTCCCCCGCCATGTTAAATGGGGTGAAAAACCTCATCTTGGAATTGGATGAATATACTGGTCAGGAGGTCTGAGTTTTGTTCCTAGTTCTGTGTGATTATAAGCAAGCCACTGCACATCTGTCTCATCATCTTTATAAACACTTCTGTTTAAGTTATGTAAAGATGAATGCTTATAAGGAGCTTCAGGACCCTTGAATTGGATTTATTTAATTACTAGAATCTTCTGTTAAGCTCTTGAATAAAGAAAAGACAATGACACAGGCTTTGAGCCTTCTTCACTTGTTTAGTCAGTTGAACATTTTTGGATTTTATTATTTTGCAATCATTTCTTAGAATCAAGATTTAGTGAATTATTGATAGTGTCACTTCTCTAAATTATTTACTACGTTCTTTAATATTTGAAGTGATTGATTGATTGATTAACTAGTTTGTGCTTGTTAGTGCTTTTGGAACATCTTAATCAATTTTTTTTTTTTAAATCTTTATTTTGAAAAAATGTGAATTTTAGTAAATGACTGCTTGTATTTTGTTAACATACTACGTTGGCTCATAATATACAACTATAAGAGTGGAAGAGGATTAGGCTTCTACTGTTAGCAGGCCCATATTAAGAAATATTATTCAAGTAAATGGATTGTGTAGATATTGTTAGTTCTTGTTAAGAGCACATTCAATTTACTGATAAAAATAATGGAATCTTAGGACTCCTATGAAGTCCTAGGAGACAGGTGAGGTACCAGAAGAAAATAATGAAAACTTTTTTCTTCTTGGCATAAAATTACTGCTTGTCTTAGTTTGGCCATTCTCCAAAGCCTCGTGACATTCTTATTCTTGAATCTCTGGTCTGTGCATGTGACCAGTGGAATTTTCCCATTTAAAGTCTTTGGCTGCCAAGCAATTACAGGCAGGTTCATGAGTGCCTTGGCCTGGAACACTGGTGTTTGTTGCTGCCCCCAACTATCAGATCTTCTAACTGCTGACTGAAGGAGCATGTCTCAGCTCTACCAGCTGAAATTGGGCCATTTAAACATTGCAGTTTTATTAATGCGGTTTTCATCCACTTTAACTGTGGTATTTTGCCAGATAGCAAAGGAGTTTTGGTCTGGTCTCGGACTCTTAGTTCATTGAGCTTGTACTGAAATCTTACATTTCCTGAATTTTCTGTGCTGCTTGGCCATTTTTACAGACTCACTGACCCCCAGTCTTCAGTCCTCCATTCCACTTAAGAGATACCCAATTAGCAGCTCTGGCTTCTAAAAATGTTTCAGGAACAATTTGAAGATATTCTGATCTTTTATGAAATACAAAAATACTTGTTCCCTGGTTCAGGAGGAAGGTAGCAGAGAATGTATTGAGGTGAAGAGAAAAGGTCAAAGATGCAACACCAATATAATGGCGGGGATATATTATAGGCTACCAAGGCAGGAAAAACAGGTGCATGAGGCACTCTTCAAAGAAATTATTCACAAATTGGTACTGATTGAGTTGGTACTGATGGGAGACTAACTTTGTGTGGAAGAAAATTTTCTGTTCCAGATTTCATGATCCTGAGATGGGGAAAGCACGAGGTCAGCAGAACTAAGGCTAGATTTCAGTTGACTCAAGGAGTTACTAGGCATGCTACCATGGGAAAAGAGACTGAAAGATAAAGGTGCCCAGGAGGGCTGAAAGCTTCTAAAGGGCACAGTACTAGAAGCCCAACAAGGAACTGCGCTGATATGATGGAAGCACAAAAGCTATAGCAGGGCACTAATGTGGCTGCACAGGAAACTTCTAGGATGCCTCAAGTGCAAAACAAAAGCGTACAGACAATGGAAAGGTGGTCAGATCACCAAAGAGGCATACCGGGGAATAACAAGAACTTACAGGGACCACATGAGAAAGGCAAAGGTTAAAAAAAAAAAAAAAAAGAGCTTCACCTGGCAAGGGAAATTAAAGGCAACAAACAAAGCTTCTATACATACACAAAATGCAAAAAAGAAGGAATGGTGCAGCAGTTACTGTGCCTCAGTCTTCACAAAAATATTAGGCTGCAACCAGCCAGCTAATAAGGATTATTTGAATAAGGAAGGGGACAAGCTGAGGGATGACATAACAAAAGAAGCAGTTGGAAAGTTTTTGATGTGTCTGATGTTACTGGAGCTTATCATAAGGAAGTCCACTTGCAAGCATCTAGAGAAGGAAAGGCTGGTCATATGCATCCACCATGGGTTTAGTAAGAACAAATTATGCCAAACAAATGTGATACCTTGTTGTCTACAACAAGATAACTAGGTGGGTGGATGAAGGAAATGCTATGCATATAGCATCTGGACTTCAGCAAGACTTTAGACAAAGTCCCATATGACCTTCTCATAAACAAACTGGAGAAATATATCCTGGACACAACACTACTGTAAGGTGGATAAGACAACTAGCTCAATAGCTGCAAGCAAAGGGTGATTATAAATAGCTCTATATCAGAACGGCAGGAGGTTTCAAGTGGCGTCCCACAGGGTCTGTTCTGGGCCTAGTGCTGTTCAATGTGTTGATTGAAGGTCTGGATGCTGCAACAGAACACAGCTTGAGCAAAATTTGCAGATGATACCAAACTGGGAAGGATCACAAACACTCTGGAAGACAGGAGTGTAATTCAGAGGGACCTTGACAGATTAGAAAGCTGAGCTGGAGCTAACAGAGTGAAGTTCACTGCTAGCAAATGCAACATACTATACATCAGGAGGAATAATCAAAAACAGAAATACAAAATGGGCAGCACCTGGATGGATGGCAGCTCTGGAAGGATCTAGGAGTGTTGGTGGATCGTAGACTCGATATGGGTCTGCAGTGTAATTCAGCTGCACAAAAGACAAATGCATTAATTGGGAGCATTTGGGTGCAAGACACTGGAGGGGATAGTATCTCTTCACTCAACACTGGTATAAAAGAGACACTAGTCTCTTTACTCCAATGTTGTAGTCTCTTTACTTCTCATCTAGTACTTTAGTCTAAAATGTGTGGTTTGGGGCTCCCCATTTTCAAAAGGACATGGAGAAGTTAGAGAGGAGGGTACAGAGGCAGGAAACAAATGATAAAGTGTTGGGAAAGCAAGCTATATGAGAAAAGGTTGAAGGCATGTTGAGCTTGCAGAAAAGGTGTTTAAGAGGGAACATGTTAAGTCCTCAAATATCTGAAGGGCTGCTATAAGGAGAACACCTTTTTCTGTCTTGCTGCAGAGAGCGGGATGTAAACCAATGGTTTAGACTGGATATCAGGAAAAAAGCTTCTTCACTATTAGATCAGTGAGGTGTATTGGCTTAGACGTCCTAGGGAAGCTGTGTACTCTCCATCACAAAAGGTGTTCAAGAAGTTGGGTAAGAATTGGCAGAGCTGGTCTAGGAGTATACTGTGGGTATTTCTCATGCTTCTGGGCTTTGCTGGTTGCCACTGTTTTTCCCTCCTGCTGCTGTGCATCAGGATTTTTAGGTTTTGGTTTGTTTGTTTTTTTCTCTTGCTTTCCTCAGAAGCACTGGGTGATGGCTACAGTGGGGATTTTGACTGGGGCATGCTAGTGTTCCTGCTAAGACTAAAACCCAGAGGTTCTGGCTAGAGAGTCTTGCCCCTCTGCTCGTGGTCAGAGCAGTTGCCACATTTGGGGTCAGGAAGAAATGTTATCCCATGGCTAGATTGGTGTGGGCTGTGGGGATTTTTTGCTTTTCTCTGTAGTGGGGGGCTCTTCTTTGGATCGCTCAGTATATTTTAACAATATTTTCAGCAGCAGGACCCTGGTCCCATTTCCCTACTCCTCCATCCCCCACTTTACCTGTGGCAGCTGAGAGTGCTGTATGCCTTGTGGTTGTCTGACAGGGTTGATTGTGTAGTTTTAATAATAGGGTAGACTAGGATTTGTATAGGATGGTTAGAATAGGGATAATCCTGCCTGGGGGTGGGGGTGGATTAGATGATCTATGGAGGTTCCTTCCAGTTCTACTTTTCCTATTATTCTGTAATATGCTGCTGTCTGATAAAATAATTTACCTGTTGCAAATGGCTGATTTAACAGCCAGAAGTTCAGTGGTAACTCCAGGACTGGCTATAAGATGGAGGAAGCATCTTTAGAAAAATAAAGTGGAAACCAGCCTTAGAAAAGCTAAAGGAAGAGAATACCTGTAAAG